AAAGAAAAAAAGGACATATCTCAATAGATGTGGAGTTGATCCGCCCCATATAATAAAGAACAGTGCTTGTCTTAGTCTGAATAAAAAGAAACCTCCTTCTTATGACGAGGTGGTCCAATAAAACATCAATAACTGTTAAAGTTTTAAAAGAAAAAAAAAATAATGACCACAATAAATAGAAACTGATTCTTCCTTCTTTCTCTCTCACACAAACAAAATTACTTTTGCGTTTTAAATCTAAAATCAAACAAACAAAATTTAGAAACAATAAAATCTAAACCTAAAAATTAATTTACCGATCTGCCCCTGATAAACTACCCTGGGCAATATGGCTACCCTACCACCACTCTCTTTCCATCACAGGCCCCTCTCCACCACTACCAGTCCACCACCGCGCTCCACATACTCCCTATCTTTCTCTCTCTCCCTTGCCACTCCTCTACCACATCGCCCCTCCCACTCTCCTCTACCACATCGCCCCTCCCACTCTCTGTATTTCTCCCTTCCCTTTTGTTCAATCTCATTCAAAGACAATTTTACTGGTAAAAATTCTGAAATCCAGAAACTCAACTTCAATAATTGACTTCCCCTCTCTCTCTTCCTATGTATAAATAAATATATAAATATATATATATATATCAATTTCATCACTTATCAATGAATTTTCAGTTAATGGAATTCCATAAAGTCCAACCTAAAACTTTCAAGATGTTATCAATGAAGTTGTTTTTTTGGGAAAGGTAAAAAGAAATAATAAAAAAGAAAAAGAAAAGAGATAAAGGGATCATTATCAATGAAGTTGTTTGATAGATTTGGAAGATCCCATGTTGAATGGTGCTCGTTGAACATATGCTTGTCCTTCACTCCTCTCGTTGAATGGTGTTCATATGCTCTTCCTTCTCTAATGCGGGCGCACACACTCATACATATATTTATATATAATAATAAACTTTGTGAATTTTATGATGGTGATTATTTACAAAATTAAAAAGATACATTGTTTGATTTTGATTTAAAATACAGAAGTAATATATATTGTTGAGTGAGAGAAAGTGGGAGGATAAATTTTTATTCTCTGTAGTTATCATTTTTTTTTTCTTCTTTTGAAACTTCAAACACTTATTGATGTTTTATTGGGCCACTTTATCATAAGAAACATCCTTTTTATCCAGCCTAAGACAAGCATTGTTCTATCATAAATACAATATTTATATGATAAATAATGAAATAAAAATAGATAATCAAATATAAGTTTCCTTAGTAACGTTCGGAAAATTCGGGATATAGGATTCCACTAATTACTCTCACAAATCACGTGTTATGTTAGTCCAAAGTTCCAAAAAAAAATGGACTTGCTCAGCAAGAATACGGGTTCACCAAGCCTATCATGTCCTATAAATCACTTCACAAAAGGGAGGGGGCGCGCGATAAGAAAAAAACCGTAGCAACTACATAAAGCCAGACCTCCATCTCTACACTGATGGACCTCGTCCATCTCTACACAGACCCATACACTACACTACATACACCAATATTTCAATCCATCAACATATCAACTACAATCCTTCCCCATTATTTTATAAGCCTCCTCCTGTAATCTCCATACTTGATTAAAAGGCTGAGGTTATCGCTAGATGAGGCACGAGTGCAATCTGCCTCTCAGAAAATCTTTCAGTCTCTACCTTGAAAGGGGTCGGTCCGACCACCACATCCGTCTGTTGTAGTCGCGTACGAGCCCGATGCTGCACCATTTATGTCTGAAGAGGCTATGTTGGTGACTCTTGGTAATTCCAAAGACTACATTGAAGGTATCGCATATCTCTAATTTAATTTATGTCTTCCTGTGTTTGATTCAATTTATATGATTTACATGCAAAGGTAGTAATTTAGAATGCTATATGTGATCTCTTTTCTTATGGCCATGGCTTATTATATGAAATTTGGACTGCAGTGCTAAATAGATTCTACTTAGGATGTTTATATCATAACTAGTAATGATAAAAAAAAATAGTTGATTTCCATGTGCTGGTAATATCATGGTTTTAACAACATGGGTTCGTGTCACTGCCTGTATATTTGTACACAATTGTTTGCTGTGAAGATATACAGATATGACTTGTTAAAAGGACTATTGCTTTTCCACGTTCTAAAACATGAATAGACATACGAAAGCATTGGAATATTATTTTCGAGCACTAGAACGAAATCCATTCTTACCACAAGCTTTTAATAATATGGCCGTGATCTGTCATTACGTGCGACTATCTTCACTATAGAAAGAAAAAAAGGGAAAGAAAGACCAAATCCGCTAGTAAATACTAGAAAAAAAAGAAATAGGCTTGTTTTCTATAATAGTATTTTTTAAAATTAAATAATCTTTTTGCGTCAAAAATATATTTTCTTTAAAAAAAAGTATTCCTAATAATAGTATTTTCTAAATAAAACATTGTGGCTTTCCGGAATCATATTTCTAAATAATCATCTTAATTATCATTTTCTTGTAATCTTTTTTTCTCTAAAAAAAAAGAGAGGTTATCTTTCTCGCAAGTCATATTTTTTTCAAAGTAATTATTTTCCTTAGAATAATTATTTTTTAACAGAAATGTTCCTCATAATTATATTTTCTAAATAATCGTATTACCTCAAAATTGTATTTTTATAATCTCTAAAAAAACATTTTTCTCAGGACTCATATCTTGCGAAAGATAATATTTTCTAAACAAATCATTTTAATTTCCTAAATAATCAACTTTATTAGGCTCTTGGTTTTTTAGAAGTAAAATTCACTTTAATCATAATGTTTATCTGAAATCATATTTTTCAAATAAACTTTTATCTTATAATCATATATTCTTCAAAAGCTAAGTTTTCCCAACAACAAAGTTTCTTAAAACAAAACTCTCCCAAAAATCATGTATACTAAAATATAAAATTTCTTAATATCATTTCCTAAAGAGTCAAAATAACGCATCTTTCCTAAATTTTGATTAAAGCAAAAGTATTGATTCAAGAACGTTCAACATATCTGTCCTTCTTAAAGAAAAATGTGATAATAATGCTTCTTAAAATTGGTATTCTTAAAAAGTTAGTTTGTTTTTTAAGAATAAAATGAAAGTTCTTAGAATAAAACATTTTCAAATATCATGTTTCCTAAAATACAATTTTCCTAAGTATCAGTTTTCCTAATCCAAATAAAATATTTTGTTTGTAGGTCATATATTTTCAAATAAAAAATATATATATATTTTGAAATTTCTTTCAACATAGTAATACTTTATTAGAAATCAAAGATTACTATATTTTTCAAAAAATAATATTTTTCCTAAAAGTAGTATCTTTTCTAAATTAAATAATATTAAAACCATATATTTTTCAATATAATACTAAAATTATATCTTTTCCAAACAATAATATTTTCTCTTAAAATAAAACTCTTTAGAACAAGTTTTCTTAAAATAAAGCTTTCTTAAAAGTCATTTTTCTAAAAGGATCAAAGATTTACTTTATACAGACATATATGTACGTATAGATATTTGACCATAAAGACCATATTTTCTAAAAGTTGTACTTTTCCTTAGAAATCGTACTTTCAAAATATAATATATTATTCCTAAACAATATTTTTTTCAAAATTTAAAATAATACATTAGAAAAATACTTTCTTTAAATATTACTTTCTTAAAGCACACAAGTTTCATACATACTTTCTTAAAGCACACAAGGTTCATACATACTTTCTTAAATTATCGGTTTCCTTATTAACAAATATATATTTTCTTAAATTAAAAAATTTCCTTAGAAACATTTTTAAAATACAAATTTATGTAGAAATATACCTTACTCAAATATAAGCTTCCTTAAAAATATATATACTTTCTTTAATTACAAGTTTCCTTAGAAACATATTTAAAATACAATTCTCTTTAGAATATATGAGTTTTCTTAGTAACATTTTAAACTACATAAATAAATTAACGTAGGAATGCAAATTAGAAATAAGACAACCGTATCTCACGGATGTGTGGGGTGCCTAACACCTTCCCCATGCATAATCAAACCCACCCTTTACTCTGGTTATAATCCTATGCTAGGTGGTGGCGACTCCTAATATTAATAAATTGGCCCTACTCCAAAATAAATAATAATTGGCCGTAGTCACGCCGTTGCATTAAGCCTTTTTTCTAACCCATAAGGCTACGTTTGGTGTGCAGGAATGGAATGGAATGCAACTTGGAATGGAATGAGAATAAGAATGGAATGGAATGAGTATTACCATTCTAATGTTTGGTGTGACACGGTAAATCGTTATGGAATGGAATGAGTATTACCATTCTATTGTTTGGTTGACTATTATCAAATCTGGAATGGAATGATTTTTCTCAAAAATGCCCTTTTCATTGGCTTACATTACTTTTTAATTCTGACTATGAATTATAGAATATTATAAGATGCCCAGTACTGCCATTGAAAAAGAAAAATCTTAAAATAAAATAAAATATTATTTTTAATGAGATATTAATCTTAATAAATGACTGCAAAAGGGAAAATATCTAAATTCCCAAAAGACGAAAGCACAAAACCGTAGCCACCATGATTGAATACTTAACCTAAAAAGTTGACGTAAAGGCTAAAAAATAAAAAATATATATATTTTTAATCATATCAATCTCAATAATATATAATAAAAAAAAAAAATTTATTTGAAGTAAAAAAAAAAAACAAGAGAACGACCAGGTCTCTTACCCAATCTATACTTGTTAGGTAAGTCTTTCTTTCATTGTGGGTCACAATCAAACTAATATCATAAGTTAATATCATTGCAGGAACAAATTAATATTAAGGAGTCCAAAGCATTATCAAAATAATTAAACAAAATATCACCAAAAAGTGCCACATACCCATCATCACAAAATTAACCAAATAATTATCCAAAGCATTCATAATAAAAATTCAAAACCTGCTTAGCCAAATATCCAAAAAGGGCCACCTAAGTAAAATCTTCACGAAATGACTGTCTTCACCAATTCTTCCTTCATATCCTCGTCAAGTGTGAAAAAAATTTGAATCAAGTCACGGTCACGACCAATTTGAACCAAAGCTTTTGCTCGATCGATTTTGTTCAAACTTGGTAACTTTATCAATTCTTCGTGCAGCCTAATTTTCAACTCATTAATTGAAGCATCTTCAATAGCTTGGCTAAGGCGTTCAGTACTTGATTTTATATCTGAGCCAGTCAAAGTTGAAGATTGTTTCACTACTTCACACAATGATTCTGCGACACTTTGAGATTTCCTCTTCTTTTTATTTTTAGAGCTCACTTCATTAGTTTTTCCAATTGTGGGAGATTGCATAAATGAAATCGATGCGTCAATATCATCTAAACCATCTCCAACATCATCATTTTCATTCTCATTTTCGTTGTCCATCCATTCCTTATCCAATTTTTCCATAACATTAGCAGCTGTTTCAGCATCATTTCCGGTAGCACGGTCTTTTCCAAATATGGTGCATAGATCCTTATAATATGGAAAAGGTTTGTCTTTAAATTTTGCAGCATTCTTGTGACTTTATAAAAAATAGCAATTATAAGAATATCATAATACAAAATTATGAAAAAAAGAAAGAAAAGAATATCATAATACAAATGAAAGAGAAAAATAAAATTATGAAGGCAAAAAAATACCTGCAGGTAAGCATCCCACACATATTTCTCAGCAACCACACAATGGTTCAAATTATCATAACCAAACCCACTTGTGTTAGGCCCATGCAGCATATCATGCACAGCATCAAAATGGGTTTTTAATGTCTTCATTCTAGATTTAATATGGGGGTCTGCCTTTAAATAAGAATGTGGCAAAGTAACTGCAAGTATTTTCTCCACAGCTGTAACATGGCCAGGTTTGAATCCACGATCGGCATTATAGAGACCCGTGTTATGTAAGTCGAGAAGAGCCTTAATAAGCTTCATATCTTCTTCATCTGTCCACATCCGTTTATTTTTACCTGCTCCTCTTATTTGATCTTGTGTAAACTCCATCCTAACATGTACAAGATATATATAACATATAATTTTCACAACTAATAAATGCATTCACACATGTAAATTTGAAAGAGAAAAACTTCACCAATATATCAACCAAGACATATAAAAATTAATTAATAACTGATTATAGATAATAACCTATGCATAAAAAGTAACATGTCAAATTAAAAAATAATTCTTAAAAAATAAGAACGTTTTTCAAAAAAATTATCTGGATTCCTTGTCTATTTTCCATCCATTCATTAAACATAAATTTAAAAAGAACATAAACTGATATGAAAAATTATCATCTCCTTTATCTAGCTGCCATCCATTCATTGAACATGCTGGTTGCTAAATTATCTCTCCATGCACTCCACTCATTTGATGTTTCGATTGTTGTAATTGAATCACCATGTACTTCATTCAGAGTATGTTCTTGTTCTTCCAAACTTTCCTCTAATGGGTCTATAGACATCTCTTGCCTTATAAGATTATGCAATAGACAACATGCTAAAATGATTCGAGTCTGTGTTGTAGTCGAATAAAAATAAGGACTTCTTATAATTGCCCAACGCATCTTAAGTAGTCCAAAGCATCTCTCTATCACATTTCTTGCCGAAGAATGCTTCATGTTGTAAAATTCTCGAGGAGTAGTAGGTTGGTGTCCATCCCTCCAATCATTCAAATGATATCTTTGTCCTCTATATGGTGCAAGAAATCCTTGACAATTTGTATACCCAGCATCAACAAGATAGTAGTAACCTATATTTGTGACAAGTATAAGTGTACTAATTGGAAATTCTATTTAAAATTTAGTTGAAGTGTAAATATTATTTTTTTTAATAAAAAAAGTCTTACCTTGAGGAACTTTAAATCCATTTCTCTTGTCCATTGCTTCTCGAAGCACTCTACTATCAGCAGTTGACCCTTCCCACCCAGGTAATATGTAGATAAATTGCATGTCTTGTGAACACACTCCTAACATATTTGTAGCAATTTCACCTTTGCGTGTTCTATATCTAGGCTTATCTTTTATAGGTACCCTTACATTGATGTGTGTCCCATCTAAAGCTCCAAAGCAATTCTAATTTTTTTTTAGAAAAAAATAAGTCATTATGGTTATTAATAAATAAAAGATATATTCTTTCAAAAAAATAAAAATAAAGATTAATTACCTTAAACCATTTCCACCTCTCATCAATTGAGTTAACAAGAACCGGCTCTGGTTTTTTAAGTAAGAGTCCTTCAAGACGCATGAGAGCATTCAACACATCTTGAAAGTGCCTACTGATAGTTTCTCCTGACCGTTGAAATCAAAATTTAATGACCCGATTCTTGACATGATGTGCAAGAATGTGAATAAACATTGCTACTTGTTCATCTATCAACATATTTTGGGTATCTTTTAACCCAACTATACTTTTAAGCATGGAGCACAATTTGGTAAACGTTTGCCTATTCATCCTAAGTTGTTCTATGCAAGTCACATCACTTGCATAAACTAGTTTGTAATAGAATTTCTCTATTTGAGTAAAAGGGTGGGTCAGGCCCACTAGCAAGTTCTAATCTAATTGCAATCCATACAGTGACCCGATACGCAGATACACCATAGATACCTCACAATATCTATCTAGTCCATACATATATATATCCACACTATGGGACATTCACTGAACTACAGTAGGGGTCTCAACCTGAATAGAAGGCAACATGCGAATACGCACCCAAAGGTGGGCATGAGTACCTAGACTTAACAGGGTACACCCAACCTACTATAACCAGCTACACGTCCACTGCATATACGCACCCTAACCAACAAGTTTGAGACTCAAGCTCAACTCATGGTACCATAAACATATATATCTAAACTCCGTTCCTAACCATTCACAAGAAATCCAATAAGTCATTCGGCGTATTCAACCGTACCGACTTATGTATATATAAGGAGGATTTATTTAACAACCCGTTCCCTTATTCCAAAACAGGTAGGACTGAGTATTTTAAATCAGTCTGTCCCTAGTATGCCACCGTCCCATACCGGTGCATACAATCCACAAAGTCCATATAATTGATAGAACCAGTCATACTGTTCACCAATTAAAATCCATAAGGTAGGAATTAGCATTTTGAACTAAACCATACCTAGTATGCCACCGTCCCATACCGGTGCATACCATCCTCCATATCCATGTAAATTACAACATTCAAATGATAAGCAAGTAATTTACAATGCAAAACCAAACCCAGATAATTGACAGAATTTTAATGTGAGAATTCAGCAATTAAAATCCAATACATAATTCCAAATAATTGGTCAAATTTAATATAAGAATTCAGCAATTATAATCCAATATATGATTCCAAATAATTGACCGAATTAAGTATAAGAATTCAGCAATTATGTTCCAATACATAATTCCAGGTAAATTACAAGGCATAAATAATAAGCATGTAATTTATAGTCCAAAACCAACCATCCACATTATTGTAGAATAGTATTTAGTATTTCAACAACTTAAAACCAAAACCATGTAAATTACAGACTACAGTAAATTAAAATCCAAAACCAATATCCAATTAATCACCGAAGATTTTTAAATGTTTCAGCAATATAAATCCAACCAATTAACCATATAGTTGCAGGGGATGAATTAATAAATCAACAACTAACTTCCAGAGCCTGCATAGATTACATCTAACACATCAATGACCCCATAATATATTTAAGACCATTTTATAAATATATTACATCCCACTGGAATGCCTAAAAATAAGCTTAAGCATTTAAAACTTCATTCATCCACCAACCGTATATAATTGTACATAAGTGTTATACAGTTTGATCCGTTAATTTAGAATTAACCTTAAATTAATTTAGGGTCTTAATAACACCCAAAAATTAACTATTTAATCCCCCCGTGAAGTCTCATTAAATTTCTAAAATTTAATCAAGCCATTCAGTTCCTTTCTCTGTTAGTAGCATACACCGTTGTATAATTTTTACACTGCTTCATCCTTTGTCTTAAAGGCTTAAACCATGCAACATTAATTTTAATAACACTTAAAATTAACTACTTAGATCCTCTGTTAAGTCCCTACAATTCATTAGAATCACTCAGAAGCCCAAACAGTGCTCAAAACACCAAACAGAGCCCTAAAACCACTTTCTGGACGTAAAAATAAATTGGAGCCGGCTCTGGAATGGAGGAGCCGGCTCTTCCCCTATTGGAGCCGGCTCCAATCCCCTAGGAGCCGGCTCTTGCTGAAGGGGAGCCGGCTCTTGACTTCCTAGAGCCGGCTCTCTCCCTCTTGAGAGCCTCCAGTTCAGTCTCTGCTCCGTTTCCGTCAATCTGCTCCTTCTCCGATCAATTCCTACCCCTCTGCTTGTTTCTTAAACTGATCTAAAGGATTTAATACCCTCCTGATAGCATCCCCAAGGTTTGATTATAGTAATTTAAATCAATTAACAGAAGTAAACTTGTGCAAAACTGAAACCTCATGCATAGATTACAACGAAGCTAAAAGCAACAGAGATCTAAAATATTAATAGCAACCCTCCTATGAGATTTACATAACTCCCGTAGTCTTTCCATACGTAGTTTACAGTGGTTGCAATAAAAACAGAGACAAAACTACGACCAGAACCCTCATGCTTAAAGGACATAAAACTGAACCAACTTGCATGCACTGTAACAGATATTGCAGAAACCATCACAGAAAAATTCAAAGCATACATATGATTAATTTGATGTATAACATACATGAATGATTTAGTTATTAATTTCCTTAAAACCCTAGAGCATATCTAGGTGCACAGAACACGGCTCAAAGGGAAAGAGGAAGATAGAACTTGCCTTTGTAATAGTTGGTCTGCTTTCCTCTGTTCTGGCCACACTGAAATACTGCTTAGCCTCCTATTACTTCTGTGTTTCCCTTCTCCTAGGTTTGGCTTTGAAACCTCAGTCGAGAACTCACAATTTGCTCTGTTATATCAACCCTTACTCTGCATCTCTCTGTGTTTTGCAGAACCCTCTACGTGTATATGCTATGTGATATATCGTAAAACCCTAGCTTAACGCATAATGGAGTATTTATAAACTAAATACTAAAACCCTAATCCTTGTCACATTGAGATAAAGCCCTAAACTTAATCTGAGTTTAGTTAGATATCAGATGCTTATGAGACGGCTCCAAAAACCCTAACTAAAACGTATCTAAAACCCTAGTTAATGGAAATTACATAATTACCCTGTTCAAAAATTAAATACTTAATAAACAATTAATTTAAACCCATTAATTAAATCAAATAAGGAAGCAACGAATCACTTAAAACACATAAAATAAATAAAACAAGTAATTAAAATAAACCAACAAATAAAGAATTATACCCTTAATTAAAATAAACAATAATAAATCAATTAAATCAAATTATCCAATTAAGTCAATTAATGCAAATAATGTTAAATAATTCAACTAAGACAATTAAACAAAAATAATAAACGCAAATAAATAATTAACAAATAAATCAATTAATACACACAAATAAACATTTATTCATAAAATTAATAAATAAAATAAAAATGCACATAAAATAACATTTAAATTCCAATTTTATCCCTTTTTAAAGTAGGGGTATTACATTCTTCCCCCCTAACAAAAGGAATTCCGTCCTCGGAATTCACGAAACTCTGAATTAGTTTTACTCCATTCCGTTGTGGGTTCTGCCTCCGTGTAAGGGCTCCACTGATTTCCAAATCCGTAAAGAAAATATATATGTCCGATATACATGACACACAAAAATTATCCAACATGTAAATTGTATTTAACAACTACTCATCCGTACCCAAATTTTGATATAGGGTAGAGGTCCATATCCCTACAAGTTCCATAACATAGATATGTAAAACTTCTATCTATCCCATCCCAATGTTTGAAAACACAAATCGATAGGTTACTGCTTAAATAGAGAAACACCTTCCATAAAAAAAAAAAAAACTCAATCTAATTAAGACATAAAAACTGACCTTCCTTAATCACGCTCCTTGCTTCCGATATGGAAGACAACCCAATCAACTGTTCCTTAACAGAAAAATCGTTAGTGTATGAATGGAATTAGTTACCATATCCTATTACCGCCTCCAAACTGTGCGTAATCCACTACAAAGAAGAGTATATCTCTCTAACGTATCCCTAAATGAAGTTAAGGTCTAATTGTATAACCCCCCGCTTCCATGTCAAACCAACAGGTAAGAAGTCTGCACCGTATAAAATACAAAACCTTTTACGTTATCATACTATCCTCCCTGTGCCAACAATATGAGAAGTGAAAAACACTTACAACTTCCCATAAAAACCTAGGATACCTATCCCAAGTATCTCCTCCATTTTAAGTGCCATGTAGAACTAATGCGAAATCCAAAAGTGAACATATACTTGTGTCCCCGACCAATCCATACTCCTAATCCGGATTAATTAACAAAAACGAACACGTAATATCAAAAGCGAAACACATAACAATCAAAATGACACATATAATAACAGAAATGAAACACGTAGATACATACAACACATAAAACAACCAAAATATAATCATTTTTTAAGATATCCTCCATTCCAAAGAAGAAACTTCCTTTGAACTCAAGTTCGCAAAAGTCTGTTCCATAGTTTCGTTGGTAATTATCCAACCCTGAAACTGATCCATTAACCGTAGCTTAACTGCACAATCGTTTGCTTAAGCAAATATCCAATGGCTTAACCCTCATCCACCTAATACGCAAACCGTCTATCGTGACTTTATTAAAGCAACTTAGCACGTTACTTCCAAATTCCTATACGCTCCAGAATGTGATATAACTCACGTCTTTGTTCTGACAAGAACTCCGTCCGGTTCCCAAACTCCCAAAGAGTACGTTTCAATTAACTCCTTAAGACATGATACGAAAATTCGTCCATAGGTAGATT